CCTACTCTCAGGGAGCACATGGCACTGCTGTCTACGCACTCCCCCTTCAGCGTCTTGCTGAACAATACATCAGCTCTTGGACATGGGACCCCTTCGGGGACCACCACGCCTTCAAGGCTGAGATAGCTCAAGACCCTTAACGGACACAGAATATACTCCCCAGTATGTGGGTATGGGCAAGCTTCAAACAACACGGGTTCGGCAAAACACTGATGGTAGGATGGTTCGAGGTTGAGGGTAAAAACGACTTAAGACGTCCCTCCTATACGATTTGACCCTTATAATAATTAAGTCGGACAGGCTGAGGCTTAGGTGAAGCTAGGGGCGGTTCCGTCTGCGCACTGGAGGTGCTGGAGGTTGATGTACCGGAATCTGTTGAGGGGGGTCTAGGTGCTGCGGTATTTCGTGACCAACCGTACATCTCCCGCATGGAAGATATCGACGTGTCACACGCCCCCTCACATCTGGGCATACAGCACTCTGATGCCATCGCTCTCCTGTAGCTGTAAAGAATGTCTCTAAGTGCTGTGAGAACCTTGTGGAGGAGGAGGAATGATTTCCGTCTGAACTGCCGCGTCAAGCCTAGTTCTGTTTTGCACAGGTGGGAGAACTCGAATACATCGAAGGCAGGACTTCGAGACTGCCCTCAGACCCTCCCAGCAGAGGATTACCCCGACAATCAAACCTAAAAGTCAAACGGACCCCTCGTCGGACCCTGTCGGAGACTCCTGGCCCTTTAGCAATTGAGACAGACAGAGAATAAGCAGGACTAATCCTAACTTCTTCCAGCTATAGTTAGGAGTACCCGCAATGCTTAACCTATTTACGGCTGGACTAATGATATGGACACCACACAGCGGTAGAAGTGATTGGAACTTTGCGACATTCAAGGCCTTAGTTAGGAGGTCAGCTGGAAGGAATTGGCCCGGCAGGTGGCAAAGAGTCCAACGTCCCGACTCTAGCCTTTCACGCAACGCTGCTGCTCGAAGGCGGAGGTGCCGACTTCGCCAGGAAGTAGGAGGGCCGGAAATAATGGCAATACATGCCATATTGTCGCCTAGCAACTGCACCTCCAGCTCCCGTCCCAGCAGCTCATGGACCAGAGCAGCAACGGCGTCCCCCATTTGGGCACCGGAGACAACCGCAATTAATTCACTTTCCGCTGTACTGAGACTGACCAAAGACTGGCGGCTACTCTCCCAGCTAAGCAGAACGCCCGCCCATTGAACTAGAAGCCCCTGATGACTCCGACCACTTGCCGGCCCATGGGAGCTATCAGCAAAGACTTGAATCAGGTTCTCATCCACCCTGCGAGTGAACTGACCATGTTGACCCAGGTCTCTTGGGGCAGGTCCAAAACACAGGCCTTGATCAGGGGAGGACTTGAGATAGCGGAGCACACCGTAGCCAATCTCTAGTGCCTCTCCGGGACGTCGAGTAGTCAGTTGCGCCGTCCGGGAAATGGGGAACGACAGTTCCGGCCTAGCACGAACGCTGAGCCATAGTAGCTCCCCGCACAGTGACTGGGCCCTCCTGACGGTCGAAGGGTCGACTGAGTTGTCCTTAGATTCCGCGTCGTCGAACGTGTCTCGCCACGCAGAAGAGGGAGAGCCCGAGCTTGAGGTTACGTCAGGGTGGCGGGTGAGCAGCTCGTTAACGTATTTGGACTGAGAGGCGATTATTCCACCAGGAGATTATTGTCGCAGTTCAAGCCCAGAATAGGTTGCTGTCGTTTCCTCCGCGTGAGCAGGCTCGGATGTTTCCCAGGTGGCCCTGAGGTGATTCAAAAATGATTCTCGTTCTAAACGACTGCCCAGCACCAGGAGGTCATCGACATAGCATGTGACTAAACCCAACACCTGGTCGTGGTCATCCACCAAACGCCATACGTTAGGGTCGGTGATGCATTGAAGAAGACGTCGACCAGACCCCTGACAGGTCCAGCGAAACTTTTTCATGCGACCATCCCTTTCCTTTGACCAAGCACGAGGGCTTGTTAAAAGACCATACAAGGCACCATGGACACGCCAACGGGTGCCACTGGGGACCACTCCGGCAAGAACCATATGACGAGGAGGATTGCAGATAAGATACCGGGCTTCAGACTCATCGACTGGGGCGTTCAAAAACGCTGTTTTGACGTCAACTACGGAGGCCCCAGCTTGTCGCAATCCTGCCCATCTCAAACAGGTTCTCAAGCTTACACTATCGGCCCCGCCGGGGTAAAGGGTTTGTTTGGCTCGTTCCCACATATGACGGCCCTATATTTTTTCCGTGGGCCCAGGCCCTCCTGGGGCTTCTCACTTGCCACCCCCCGTCCCGGCAGCACCTCTACATCCTCGCCCTCTGCAATCCAGGACTGAACTTGATCCTCTGTAACGGATTCTTGCTGAGAAGAGACTGGTACTCCGCAGCCATGGCCTCTTTCCAAGCGTACAGGTTCTCCCGTACCTCATCGTTTGAAACCAGTCTGGTATGCAGTAGGCCTGGGGATGGGGTTGCAGGGTCTGAATCGACCACACGGGGCGCAGAGCGGACTAGAAATTCCAAATCTCCTTGAGCTGCACGCCAACTGGCATCTCCTTGAAGCTGTTGTTCAACATCTTCTTGCCACGCATGCAAACTTGCCAAAAAGGGAGGGCTGGTTAGGTCACTAATCCCCTCCTCGGCAAGATGAACCTCCCGACGGCCAAAATGGACTTTTAAGGTATGAACCCTTACGTACATTTCCCTGAGGAAAGGGGTCAACCCATCAGGGTCTGTGGGACAGCTCACAGAAACCTCCCACTCTTCATCATCTCCTTGAGAAGGATCCACAACTGAACTGGATACAACATCTCTCATGGGTCGGTCCACGCAAAATGCCCTGGCGGCGGAAGGCCAAGACAAACCTAATCCAGCGAGATCTATTGATAAAGCTGGGCAAAGACGATCTAAACTTCGAGGAGTATACCCAACTAGAAGCAACCGATTCCCAAGGCCCGGAAGGCTTGCATGTGGAACCCGAGGCCAAAAAGAGGCCCACGCATTAGATGGAAGGATCAGCTCCCCTTGCTCTAGACGTATCCCTTCTACATGGGGACCATCCGCAATATTCCACGCAACATTAAGACAAGAAGCCTCATTGTGACTGTCCACATGCTGGTCTGAATGGCAGTTGACTAACACAGTAAGGGCTGCAAATGAGTGGTTGGTTCGGCGACGCAACGCCTCACACAGGAAAGCAGTCGTAATGGGAAAAAGCCGGGAAGTCCTGGTGAGGCCTGCTACACCCCCATGAACAAATGCTCCAGTGGTCCATCTTCCAGGTGGCCAGGGATCTACATTATCCCTTGATGCTGAAACTTGGAAGGGCCGACATGTGTCTATTTTAGATCTGGAGTGCCAGAGTAGCCTGACCACATCAAGGACATCCACTCCGTCAAAGCGATTATGGGCAAGTTTTTCTTCTGCTAAAGTCTCAACTGGGCACAAGAGGAGAGTCACCACCAATTTCCCAGACATTATTCTCTCCCCCGGGACTAGGCCTAGAGCTGTGAAGCTCCCCCCCGGAATTGGGCCCAGAGCTGTGAAGCTCTCCCCCGGAATT